GCCACCACCCAACCAAAAAAAGAAAGCAAAAAAAAAAAAAAAAGGGGACCCCCCCCCCCCTCCTCCTCGCAGCTACGACTACGGCGCCCTCGTGGGCCAGAAAGTGCTTGACCTGGCCTCGCTCTTCCTCCACAATCTGGTCTCCAAGAACGCCGTGGTCCAGGCGGCTGTCCGCGAGTTCTGCGTCTGGCAGTACGATGCCTTCCTCGGCAAGGCCACGCCCGACATCTACGCCCAGGAACTGGCCGGCATCGGCGCTGCCAACCCCAGCGCACTCCGTGACGTCAAGACCATCATCACCCTGGCCAACTTTCCTGGCACCATCACTGATCTCCGGTATGTGCTGGAGAAGGAGATTTTCGGCTCCGACCTGGCTGCTGCCCGCACCATGGACGTCATGACCATGCTCGACGTCATCCTCATCGCCGACGGCATGGATCCCGCCCGTGCCCGCCGCATTGCCGCTGGCCTCCAAGCCCTTGTTGACGCCAACTACAAGTCGTTCGGCTGCTCCATGTTTGGCATCTGGGGCAACCGGACTCAGGGCGGGAACGTGTTCTCGGCCCGCAACCTCGACTGGGCATCGTCGACCGGCGCCAACACCGGTAAGGTCGTCACGGTGTTCAAGCCCAACGACGGCGGTGTGGCCCATGCCACCTTTGGCTTTATCGGCTTCTACGGTGCCCTCGCCGGTGTCTCGGCCGAAGGCATCTCGGTCCACGAGGCCAACCTCGAGGAGGGCGAGGCCATCTCGTTCAAGGGCATGGCCTGGGTCCTCCGCCTCCGCTACATCATGGAAAAGTCGAAGCATCTTGACTCGGCGCTCACACTTTGGAACGACGAGCACAACACCGTCGGCTTCAACTTTGGCATCATGTCGCAGCCCGATCGCGCCGGCGTGGTCATCGAGACCAACGACATCGACTCGTACATCTTCCATGCCGACTCGCCTGTCGAGGCCGCCGCCACCATCGAGTACGAGGGCAAGACCGTTCAGTACGGCTTTCCCATGACCGACGCTGTTTACCGGACCAACGCCGCATACGCGCCCGAGACCCGCAAGTACTACTCGTGGTCGCAGTCGCGCATGTCCAACTCGGAGCTCCGCTACCTGCTCATTCGCGACGGCTTTGTCAACTACGCCGAGGATGGCGTCCTCGTTGGCATGGACCAGGCTCTCAACATCACCGCCATCGTCGCCGCAAAGTCCAAGCAGGAGCCTGCCGGCGACCCGTATCACTGCCCGCCCATGCCGCAGCCGACCCCGACCGGCTCCAACATCGTCTCGGCCACCAACGACCTTGCCTCGCTCACCTCGTACGTGGCTTGGGGCAACGGCAACGGCGCCACCTGGCGTGCTGCCTGCTGCAACACCTACGCCGCCTTTGATCTCACCAAGTGGTTTTGATGCCACCGGGTAAACGCCGCTCGTTTTACTTGTAGAACGCAATCCCGTTCTGGATGTTCTGCAGCTTGTCGTAGAGATACGTGGTGATGTCGAACGAGTCGTCCACCAGCTTGGACGCATACGCCGCGGCCTGCGCCTCGCTCAGATGCGGCTTGAACCGGTCGAGGAGGAGAGGGAGGAGGCCCGGCTTGAAGCAGAGGAGCCCAGTCTCGGAGAGGAGCTCAAAGAGCGCCACCACCGTCGGCGCCAACGGGCGCACCGCCAGGTATGCCTTGACAACCAGCTCGCGGAAGAGTGCAAAGTGCTCAGAGTTCTTCCCGCCCATCAGCTCCGCCATCTCGTTGGTCATCTTGAACGGCGCGCGCTCAAAGCCGAGATCGCCGCCGGGTGACGAGAGCCCACCAATAAAGCCAAAGTCGATGTGAACCATCTGACCCGAGCCCAGGAGCATGATGTTGCCCGAGTGGCGATCAACAAGCCGGAGCAGGTAGCACGCCACCGAGTACCCGGCCGTCGACGCGATAAACTCGTGTCGCGCCGCCGCAAAGTCGGCAGAGTCCTCCGGCCCGTACCGTGAGATAAAGTACTCCTTGAGCGGCATGTCGTTGGCTCGCCCGAGCTCGTCGCGCGACTTGGCGTTGGCCACCACCTCGATGACGCCAGATCCGGGCCCGGTCGCCACCACGTTGTACGGGTAGAGGTAGACCGGGAGCCCAATCCGCTTAAACTGCGCGTCAAAGAGCTTGATGACTTGAAGCGCGAGCATGTCCTGCCGCACATCGTCACCGACTTTGAAGATGCAGCCCTGCCAGCGGAGCGACGGTGCGCCTCCCGCCGTACCACCTGCCCCGCTCAGCGCCAGACTCTCACCGCGATCGCTCGCAGAGGCCTGAGACGAGCTCTCGCCCCACCCCTGCCCACCAACGTCGCCGACGTCGTCATCGTCCGACTCGGACTCGGACTCGTGGCCCTCGTTGAAGAGCTCGTCCGACTCCTCCACCGCAAACGTGATGAGAATCGGCACCTTCTCCGCAGACTTGAGGCACACTCCCGACCGGTACTTGACGCCGCGAACCAGCTGTGTCACGTCCGATGGAAGGTACAGCTTCTGGCCCTCGCCCACCACAATCTTGTCCAGCTCGTCGTAAAGCTTCTGCCGCTGCTCTTCGGGCTTCGACTTGAGCGGGACAAGGACGCCCGAGATCTGGGTCACCGCCTCAAAGAACGACCACTCGTCATGGTAGAACTGCTCCTGCTCCGCCGTAAAGTTGCCCAGGATGGTCTCCTCCAGGCGGGTGCAGAGCGGGCCGAGGAGGCCGTCAAGGAACTCGCCATCGTCGTTCTTCTCCTGATACGTCTTCATGTTCCACAGCAGCTGGTGTGCCACAATCGACGACTTGGCCGCAGACGCCGCCAGAAACTGCGCAATGTACCCGTGCGGATCAGCGCGGAGTGCCTGTACAAGCTGCGGGATGAAGAAGATGACGTCGCGCACAGGCAGGCCGCGGAGAACACGCAGCGCGTACTGAACCACGAGGTTGTGCGGCGGTACAGACTTCCACGAGAGAAGCGCCACCGCCGTCGCCGCCTCGCACGGCGCCCACGAGACAAGGAGCCGGAGCGCCGGCGCGTTCGCTCGCACGCTCGCCTCGGTCACCAACAGCGGAATGGCCTCGGGCACATCGATGAGCGCAGCAGCATTGGCCCGCACCAGCGCCTCCACCTGCCGCCGGATGAGCGCAGCCGGGAACCGCTTTGTCAACTGGACAGCCAGCCGCGGCAGCGTCGTCCACGCCACCTCCACCAGCTCCTTCCACAGTTTGGGTGCGTCCGCCGGCGATGGGATGGGGAACTCGTTTGCGCCCGCAACCGCACGCCCAGGCATGTGCAGCGGGTTGGTCCACGTCGCCAACCGCTCAATTTCCGACGCGAGTAGCACAAGCGCAAGGTGCCGCCGGTCCTGCAGCGAGTACAGCAGCGGGAGGCAGTCGACAAGCGGCGCAGCGTCTGCGGCGTCAAACTCGCTAACCACGCTTGCGCTCGTCGTTGCATCCTCGCCGCCCTGCATCTCCTCCAGAGCACTCACCAGCTGGGTGAGCACGTCACCGTCGGACTGCAGCGCGCGCGCAAATTCGATGAGCTGCGCGAGCGCCTCGTGGTTGCCCTCATCATCGCCGCGGAACCAGGCCGAGTGCGAGACAAACCAGGTGAGAAGCCCGTTGTACACCACGTCGCGGAGAATAAGCGAGCCAAGAACATCGAGCGTCGGCCCCGGCCGCGGCGACTCGACGTACCCGGTCTCGCCGAGCGACGACATCGCCACACCCGCACCGCTCCACTCGCCGACTTCGCCAACTTGTCCAGCTGCGGCAGGGCCCGACGCCTGCGACTCGCATTCGCCAGAGCCCGCGCTCAGCTCACCCGAGCCCGACGCGCCGGTGAGCGCCAGCGACGGCGCGCCAGCTGCCGGCCGGCGAATCGCCGCACCGGACGCGAGCTTGAGCCCGAGGTCCAAGAGCGCGAGCCGCGCTGGGAGCGCCGACGGGTGAACCGAGAGACCGAGCGGGTCGTGGAGTGCGTGAGTGACAAGCGTGTGCAGGAGCGCCGCCACGGCAGCCGCAGACGCTACTGAGCCCGTCAGCCGCTCGTGGAGGTAGACGAGCCAGGTCTTGTGCGGGCCGGCATCGGCGACTGAATCAGCAGCCTCGGGATCGGGTGCAAAGAGGCCAAGACGGCTCGTCTGGCTCCAGTCCCACAGCTCGACCAGGCGCGCAAGGAGGAGCGCGTCCAGTGCTGGCTCTGACCCGACTACCCACGCCCACGCCGAGACGCCAACCTCTAGCGAGGCCCGCGTAAAGGCCTTGACCGGAAGCAGAGTGAGCGCGTCGAGGACCGACGATGAAACCGGCTCACCCGAGCTGCATGCTCGCACCACATACGCTGCAAGCGTGTAGGTGAGCGAGGCAATGTCGTGGGACCAGGCCGGCCGCCCCGGGACCGGTCCAGGGACAGCGAGCGCGGCGTCGACTGCTGCCAGCAAATGGCTCACGACATCAACGCCAGACGACACCATGCCGACAACCAGCCCGGTGTGGTACGACTCGCGCACAAGCTGTGAACCAAATGTTGTCTGCTGCCGATGCGAGGTTGCAGCGAGGCGTGCGTGCTCGGCGCTGGCCTTGGGCGTCACCAACGAGTCGAGCACTGGGTCCGTGAGCGAGCCTACCCGCAAAATGAGGCCGTCGAGGTGAGGGAGCGCCGGGCCAGCAAGTCGGTTAAAGTCACGGAGCATGCCCGAGATGACTGCCTGAACCTGCGCCGGTGCAGCTTGCATGCCGGCAGAGAGCCAGGCCGAGGCAACCGAGGCAACGTTGCCGAGAACAGCGGCGCGGGCGGCAAGGTCGAGCGGGAGTGTGACCGAGTGGTCGAGGTTGGGGAGGCGGAGAGCAAGCTCCTCGGGCCGGAGTGTGACCGGGATCTCCGACGCAGGCGAGACGCCCACGTTGACCGAGGCTGCGAGTACCTCGAGCAAGTCCATGAGGAACCGGAGAGCGCGGACTGAGGTGAGCAGCGCAGTCGAGCCACGGACAAGGGCAAGGAGAATGTCGGCAGCAACGTGGCGGATGTCCTTGTACTGGTGCGCCATGAACGCAGCCAAAAAAATCGCATGCTCCTCCTCAATCCTTGCCTTGCATCCGCACAGGCCCGACGCCGGAGCTGGGCACTTGGGCTGGGCCATCAGCGAGCTGTGCACCGCCGGCGGCAGCGCAAGCACCGCCAAAAAGTCGGCGAGCAGTACATGCGGGAGGGCCTTGAGTGCGTCGTGGAGCGGGCCAGACGTGGCGAGCTCCGAGTCCTCGAGGTAGACAAACGACGGCATGATGAAGAGCGAGGCCGAGCGGAGCGACTCGAGTTTGTACACCGCGTACAGGTAAAAGGCCCGGACAGTGCCGAGCGCGGTGAGTGTGGTCCGCGCCACCGACGGGAGGGCGGCAGCGAGCGCCATGGTGAGGGTCGTCGGCGCATCACGCGGGAGAAACGGGAGGATGGCGTCGTTGAGCTCGGCCACAAACTCGGAGAACGAGTGGGTGAGCGCCGGAGCGATGAGCACAGGCATACGGCTGGCAAGCTTGACGACTGACTCGAAGACCGGTGCCGGCCACACGCCCTCCTCGGGCATCTGGAACAGGACGCAGTACGCCCAGAGCGAGTGGTAGATCTTGGCGGTGGTGATGCGCGGGAAGAGGATGTCGTCCGGGGTTGTTGACGAGAGAAGCGCCACAATCGGTGGAAGGAGGTGAGTGAGCGGAGCAGCCGCGGCGCGGAGCTGCGACTGGGTCAGGTTGTTAGGCACCGACGCCGAGTCGGTGGCCGTGAGGCCCGAGAGCGACTGGCGGGCGAGGAGAACAAAGATCTGGACGAGGCGGGCACCGAGGTCGGCGCGCATGTACGCCGAATCGAGGCCGTTGCCGAGCGCGACAAAAGCGTCCATGACATGCAAGTAGAGTGCCGACGGAAAGGCGCGCGCAAGCCGAGGCGCTGCGCGCTGTGCAAGTCGCGAGAAGAGGGAGAGAATTTCGGTGAGGACCGACGACGACGAGTCGGCGCGGGCGGCTGCGAGTGCCATAGTGGTGAGCGCCGCCACAATCGGCCCGGCAAAGGTCGAGTCGTCGTCCGCCGTGTCAAGCGAGGACACATAGTGGTTGAGAACAACCTTGGAGACCGACGGCACACCAAACCGGACTGCGACGTCGCCGAGGAGGGCGATGAAGAACGTGCCAAGCGAGGTCGAGAGCGAGGTGTCCGAGGCAGGCGTGCCTGTGGGTCGCGGCGCCGTCGCCGCTGCCATGAGTTCGGTCACGCGCGACGCGAGCTCGAGGACAAACGCTGAGAGGAGCGCGACTGCCGAGTCGGGCAGCGCACCGTGGGTGTCGAGGAGGCCATTGGCAAGCGCAGCAGTAACCCGCTTGCGCAACGCCTCGTCGCCCTTGTGCGGAGTCGAGAACGAGAGCGCAGCCATGAACCAGCGCGAGAAGAGGACGTCCTGGAGCTGGGCGACAAAGCCGCGGCGGAGGGTGCGCGAGACAGCGGTGAGGCGTGCGAGTCCGGCCAGCACGGCGTCAAGGACCGCCAGTGTCTGTGCCATCGAGAGCGCACTCGGCTCAACCGGCTCGTCAAGGACGTCAACGAGGGTGTCAAAAACGGCACGGGTCTTGGCCGGCTGGGCGCAACCAATGGTGGCAAGGAGCGTGACCGCAGCCGGATGGGCGACCCGGGAACTCTTGGCCGAGCCCACCATTGCCAGCGCCGCCGAGTACAGCGCCGCCGTCTCGGGCGTACTCTGCAGGTTCGGCGAGGTCAGGATGAGGGTGTTGGCCAGCTGGAGGAGGGATGAACGGAGCGAGCCGAGGACCGGAAGCGGGAGGCTGTCGCCCAGCGAACAGAAGAGGTTCGCTACAAACGAAAGGAGCTCCGTCGAGAGCGGGACGAGGCAGACGGTGCAGGCGTGGGACGGCGCCGAGGCCATGGCGGCGAGCATAGCTGCAAGCATCCGGGCGTGAAGTGGGCGGGAGACGTCAAAGGCCTCAACGAGCGCCACCAGTGGACCAAACACCGCCTTGTGCTCCACATCGTGGACGGCGACGGCGGCGAGGAGCGCAGTGGTGAGCTCTGCAAAAAACTCCTCTGCCGCCGTCGAGTTGGTCGCCCGGCCCTTTGCCCGCAGCAAGAGCGGGAGCTGATGCGAGCCGTGGCCGTTGGCGTTGCTCCCGAACCCGCTCTGAGCCTCACTCTCAAACGATGTTGATGGATGCAGACGATGAGCGAGGCGAGGCGTGGTCGAGGGCGATGAGGGCGATGAGGGCGAGAAAGCGACAAGCGATGACATCGACGGCTTGAGCGAGTCTGCCTTGAGAAAGGCATGAAGGGCATGAAGATGTTGCGTGACATGAGGAAGAAGCAAAGACGCATTTTGCGGCGAAGATGAAGCAGCTACGTTGCCCACAGCCACCAAGCACCATGCGCTCCGTGGCGAGAGGAGCTTGCCCTCGGCTGGCAGCGGCGAGAGCCGGAGGAGCCGAGAGAGCACCGCACGAGGTGGGCCAGATGCAAGCCGTTGCAGACTCGCCGAGAGGTGCTCCGCTGCTACCCGGTGGAAGGCAGGCGTGGAGCTGGCCATGGATGCAGCGACGTGAAGTGGTGCAATGTGTGTGTGTTGTGTGTGGGTAGCTGGGGGGGGGGCGGTGGTCGGTGGTTGGCCATTTTGTTGTTGGCTCGCGCAGGACTCGGCCGGGCTAAGCCTCGAGGGTGAGACCGCCCCAACTGACGAGATTGTCAGCGGCAGAGACGATGGAAGTCATGACGCCGAGGGTGAGTGAGAGGGATGAGATAGGTCCGGTTGTGAGCGGCGCGTGCCACGAGAGCGATGCAGCGACAGTGCCGGATGAGTGGCCAGCGAGGGAGAGATGGACGCCGGAGAGGATCTCGAGGCGGGCCGCGGCGCGGGCGGCAAGGGCGAGCGAGCTCTGGGCGTCGCGGACTGGGTCAATGCGAGCAAGCTCGGCGTCGGCGACGAGCTCGAGCCTGCGCGTGTCGGGGAGGGTGGTGCAGAGGTAGAGGTAGGCGCGGGCGGCGGTGAAGGCCGACTCGGATGCGAGACCGGCCTCGAAAGAGCCGTCGCCCCGGACAACGGCGGCAGCGACGTCAGCGGTGACGGTTGCCAGATGCGAGGTGGCAAAAGATGACGCCCATGATGGCGAGAGTGAGACCTTGCCCTGCGCGCCGACCCGGATGTGCAGCTGGTCTCCGTCGGCGTCGCGGGCAGCGAACGAGGCCAGCTCGTCTAACGCCGACGTCTTTGGCGCAAGCGACGGGACGAGAAATCCCAGCGCAGAGCGAATGGCGGAAGTCACCTGGCATACTGATCGCTGCGCAGCTATCCACGAGGTCACCGCGTCGCGATCCGAGACCAGGTCGAGGGTGGAGCCGGCGTCAAACTGCGGCGTGCGCATTTCGTAGCCGACCTTGGCTTCGCCCGGGTGGACGCCGACCTGGATCCAGCGAGCCCAGCTGGGGGCATCCACATTGGGCTCGACAGCGACAATGCGGAGTACAGCACGCGAGTCGAGCGGATCCATGACGAGACGAACTGATGTGGCCGAGTCTGCGAGCATGCCGCAAAGGGCGAGGAGCGAGTGCGGGCGGTTGCACTCGCCGTCTTTGGCCGATGCTCGAGAGAGAGCAAGTCGCTCAGCATGTGCTCGCATCCATGACGCCATTCCGCCGGCAGACGGCACCACACAGTGGGTGACATGGACCGCCAAAGGTCCGCCGACAAGCGGCGAGGTGAGCGAGGCCAGCTTGAGCTTCATGCCGACGTGGGTAGCCAGTGGTACCACAGGCTCTGCCCGCGCTGCAGACAGGACCCGCCAAGCCTCTCCACCAAACATGGCCCGGTAGCTTGACCACCACTGCCATTGCGGAGAGTGGAAGTCGGGGAGGTTGGTGGAGGCCATGGGGCAAGGAGGGGGTGGGTGGGGTGGTGATCGATCAGCAGTAAGGTTGCGGTGATCGATCAGGGGGGTGGTGATCGATCATGGTGGAGGTGGTGAACGAGGGGGGGGGGGAAGGGGAAGGGGAGGGGAGGGTACACTTGTCACGGCTTGCCTTGATATGAACACAGTGCTTGTGTGTGTGGTGCTTGTCGCCCTTGCGGTTGCGACTGCTGCCCAGGACCCGGCCTCGTCGTGGCTCTCGTACGCAGAGTACAGCGCTGACGGTAAGTGGCCTTTTTCGGGTAATGGTGATCGGCGGTGGCACCTGATCCTGATCGGAGAGGGATGGGGGGGGAGGGGGGGGCGCTACTTACAGCTGCACTGAGGGGCGTGTGTGTGTGGTGGCGTGTACGGGACAGATTCGATTACCTTCCTTGCGGCCAACTGGACGGTGCCCGCGTACCCGAGTGACAAGTTTGCGTCGCGCGCGCCAGGGTTCTGGATCAGCGTGGAGAACGCGGACAACACGTACCTTGTGCAGCCGATTCTGGCCTTTGGCGACGGTGATCTGCATTACACGTGCTTCAACGGATGGTTTGTGTGGAGCGGCCCGCATGCCGGCTGGCACCAGTCGCAGGCGTTCAAGGTTGTGCCTGGCGATGCCATCTACGCCTCGATCACCTACCTGCCGTCGACCGATGAGTATGAGATGTACATCGCCTGCGAGGCCAAGGGCCAGTCGGTGACGACCAAGGTCCCGGCGCAGGGCGTCAAGTACCCGCTCAGCTACTTTGTCGTCGAGCACCAGTCGTCGTGCTCGGGTCTCCCGGCCGACGGCAAGGTGACCTGGACCAACATCGAGGTCGAGGTCGCCAACAACCGCGTCACGCCCACTTGGCAGGCCAAGCAGGAGGACCCGGTCTGCTCCTCCCAGGCCCATATCCTCTCGCCGTCATCGATCCAGGTCACTTGGGACGCGTAGTCGGGGTAAATCCTTGTTTTCCCAAGCACACTCGCCAAGTTTGCGGCCCCAGCAACAAGGCTTAGTGCCAAGTGCGGGGGTTGAGCCACATACCATTCCACTCCACGCACGTGCCGACCGTTTGGCCTCGACCTCCTCCCTGCATTCAACCCGGAGTTTAACCCGGATCACCTCGCACAAGCCACAAAGTCTGTGCCTCACGCAACGACTGGTGCTACGGGAGTTCTCGAGCCACTCTCATACATCAGCTTGTCCTCATCTCGCTCTCCGTCATCGCTCGCAACTCGTTACCGGCCAGCAGAGACCGACGCGTGCGGCGGAAGAATGACAAAAAATTTCCGAGTTGTTCCTCAACTCGCTCTCCGCAACCTCACCTCTCGGTCTGGCTCGCCACGCAAGGCCAGCATGGCTCTGAAACTCATGGCGCTGGCGTTGGCACTGCTCATAACTACCAGTCATGCTGCCGTTCTGCTCTCGGTCTCGGGCTCGCTCAATCTCGAGGTCGACGCCCGAAAGATGAGTTCAATGAACGGGAACTCGACGGCGGTGACAGGCTATGTGGCCATGGCTGACGAGCTTGTGGCGCTTCGACTCGATCTGCGCAGCTTGGCGCTCCCGGCACTCGGCAGGCTGCAAGTGGACTCGATGTCAACTCGGATCACACTACCGCAACTGGTGGATGGCGAGTCGTCGTCATCGGCACTGTGGACGGTTCGGGCGTACGCCTACGATCATCTCGGCGTCGGCGGGCCACTCAACACAGCGCCATGGACCGCAACTGGTGGCCTTGACGCGGTGCCGCGGATAGGCCCGATGGTCAGCTGGCCAGCCACCACAAACATGAACCCGTTTGTGGTCGATATCGACAAGCTCGTCCAGGCCGCGGTCGACGCGCCGCAGTTTGGCGGCTGGCTCGTCGTGCGGCTCGAGCTTCTAGCTCCCGACACCAATCGCAGCCATCAATTGGCCACCGCGCCCGTCACCTTTGAGGTCGGCTACTACCACGTGTGTCCAGAGTATCCGGCTCTGCCGCGCGGTAGCATTGCACGCTCGCCGGTCACCGGCACCACCAGCGCGCCGGCTGGCGACGCGCTTGCGGTTCGATGCGAGGACGGGACGGTGCTTGTCGGTCCCGCGACAGTGACATGTATCGACGGTGCGTGGAATGTGATGCCGCCGGCGGTCCAGTGTGTCCCGGCGCCAGTCTGTGCCGATGGCGAGGTTGCGATGCAGGGCGCAGCAGAGTGCTCGCCGTGTGATGCCGGGACTTACTCGGCGAGCAATGGTGCCGCTCGCTGCACCGCTTGCCCGAACTTCTCGACCTCGCCGGCCCGGTCGGCAAGCATCACCAACTGCTCTTGCTTGCGGGGCTACTGGGCAGCGCGAACCGAAGACCTGCTCGAGTTGCGCTGCATGGCGTGTCCACTCGGCGCAGAGTGCACCGGCGGAGACGCTGCCCCGGTCGCCGCACCTGGCTTTGCCCCCAGTGGCGATGCGCCGTTGTCATTTGTGGCATGCCCGCTCGCAGGCGCATGTTCTGAAGGCAACGGGTGTAGACGGGGGTACACTGGGCCACTGTGTGGCGCGTGTGCGAGCGGATATTACCTCATCGGTGGAGTATGCCGGTCGTGCAGCGCGGCGAGTGGGTTGGTGGCGACCAGCATGGTGCTGGCGGTTTTTGGTTATGCGGTAGGCAGCGTGTGGCTCAACTCCCGCGACGCGCACGCGATGACTGCAGCAGCGGGCATCGCGATCAACACAGCACAGGTGGTAGGCCTCATCGGCACGCTCCAGCTGGAGTGGCACCCTGTAGCGCGGGCCGTGTTGGACGCGGTCTCGCTGGCCAATGTCAACCTTGATCTCGCGGCACCCGGATGCGGGCTCGGCGCGCATGATGCGTGGATGTTCAAGTTTGGTATGACGATGGCGCTGCCGCTCTTGTTTGTGCTGCCGTACTTGGTCGCGACAGCGGTAGTGACCAGAGTGCAGCGGCGCGGAGCAGCCAAGACTGCGCGCGGCGGGGTGACTTCGCGGGTGATGCGCGGCGCGGCGCGCGGGTATGCCCAGACGCTGATACTTTGTATCTGCCGCTCGTCTACGGCGCGCTGCAGTATGTCGACTGCACCTATGTCAGCAGCGGGTGGCGGTGATGACGACCAACCCGCAGCAGCGATGCTACACCGACGAGTGGTATCAGATGCTGCCGCTGGTGATGGTGGCGGCCGTGGTGTACAGCGCCGGCGTTCCCGCGGGGCTAGCGACGGTCCTGGTTGCGCTCCGCCGCCGGCGGCTGGCCTTTCTCACCGCCAAGTTCAAGGCGGGTATCCCTTGGTATGACGGCGTGATACTCGGCAAGCAGCTTGCTGTGGTGCTGGGTGTGTGTGTGGTGCGGTCGGCGCAGACCAAGGCGTTTGTGGTGGGGCTTGTGCTTGTCATGCTCTCCATCCACGACGCTGTCCGGCGTCACCGGCCGTACGTCCGGCCGCGCCACAACGCGATGGCGGCCGCCGGCAGCGGCTGCGCGGTTGTGGTGGTGTGGTCAGCCGCGAGCGGCAAGCCGTCGGGCTTCCGCGACGCGTGCATCATTGCGGCGCTGCTGTCCTTGGTTGCTGTCGTCGTGGGCGGCATCGGGTACGAGATCCGGCGTGCCACCCAGCGGAAGAAGCGGCCGGCACTGTGGATGGCGACGCCAAGTGCTGTGCGCAAGTCGTCGGATGTGGACTTTTCTGTGGTGGACATTGACGCCATCGAGTCGTCGTCTGGAGTTGAGGAGGCGACCGTGGCGGCTGGCGTGAGCGCGACACCCGCGGAGCCTGTGCGGCAACCGATGATCGATGACATGGAGACGTACTTTGAGGGCTCTGGACTCGCCTTTCTCGACACGATGGAAGCCATCCAGTGTGCGCTTCCGCCGTCGGCGACAGCGATGACTGCCAGTCCGCGGTCGCCGTCTGTGGCGAGCTCGTTCTCAGCATCGCCGACGGCTGGGGGCTTCCCGCAGCTCACGCTTGCAATTCCTGCCGAACTGCGCATTCGCGAGCTGACCGGCGAAGGCTCGCCGACCTCGCCAATCTCGCCAACCTCCCCTGCCACTTCCCGGCTCGCGTCCAACTCGACGGTCTCATCGCCGACGACCTCCTCCGACTCGTCGTCAACCGCGTCCGAGTCGCTCCCGCCGCCGCCGCCTCTTCCTGTGTCGATGACTCTGGCAGGAGTGCAGTGGTAAACATTGTAGGCTGCGATGAGCCGAAACCGTCGTACCGTACCCATCTGTCGTGTCCCGCCATGCGAGCCGCCCGTGCGAGCCGCCCGTGCGAGCCCCCGGCTTGAGAGGACTCCCCCCCCCCCTCCC